TTCCCCACCTTCACCCACCCCCGAGAGATTCAAACGCGGTCCAGAAGGCCGGAACTGGGAACAAGCAGATAAACCGGTGGCCCCAGCAACCTCACACACGGTGTCCGCACTCGTCCTCACTCGCCTCGGGTCTGCTGCTCACTGCCCCCCAACACTCAAATCCTGGGGTGCTAGCGCTCTCAAGAACCGGCGAGGAGGGATTTTGGATAGATGCACAAGTCCCCGCGCCCTTTTCACTTCTTCCTTCAGTTCCCGCCCACACTTCCGAACACTCCTCCTTGACAAAAACTCCTTGACACACAAGTGTGCCTCAATTCTCACGCTTCCCTCCTTTCCCAGCCACTGAACCCCTTCCCTGAGGAGGTCCTCACCTACCCCCTACAGCTGGAGGCTCAGGGCGATGACTCGCGGCCCCGCGCCGGTTCCCCAGCACCACCCCGGCTCCCCGCTTCCAGGGACGCCGGGGTGTTGCCTTGCAGCGGCCTAACAACCACTTCCGGAAAGGGTAAGAACCTAGCAACTAAGAGTCCCGCCTCCCCGGGAGCCAATAGGTTACTGAATGAAAACGGTGATATTGGATTGGTCAGAGATCTCGACGGCTAGCGTAAGGCACGTTTCCCGATGCACGATGGGAGATGTAGTCCAAGATAGTTGATCCAGTCCGTTAGGGGATAAAGAAAGAGTTCTGAATTTAGATACGGGGAGAATTTCTTCCCGAGCTAGAAAGTACCATTCACAGTATTATAGTAACATGGGTTACTAAGGCGATTTATTGGTTATTTTTTAATTATGTGGTTATTATCAACTGATCATCAACAATCAAAGCATTGAGAACAAAAGAAATGTGAATGTAAGGTAATGGAGAGCCTCACCAAAACTTTAAAAACTGATTCATCTGTGCTCCGATTACAACAATAACCACCTGCCAGGGGAAGAAGAAAGTTAATTTCTACTGTCCTCTTTTCATCTGAGTAGGGCTCAGTTTGCATGTCTGCAAGATGGGAATGTATCTGTCACAACTACTTCACAGAATCTGTTTAAGAAGGGGGAAAAAAGCAAGTGTACCCCCTTTCAGCCCCTCCACACACCCTTTCTAATAGAGGGTTGCTACTGATATAAATACAAAGACTTGAGCTTTGCTTAAACAAAGGGCAAATCTTCCTTCCTCTCATATCCTCCACCTCCTGCAGAAGTTAAGGAGGGCAAAGATAACTGGCCATTACATCAATGAGGAAAACCTGGAGATCAAAAATTAAGAGGCTTTGCTAGTTGAAGAAAAGAATGGAGCATCTGGAGCAGCTCCACATAAGTTTTGCTGTGGAGTGTATAGGGTGCATACTAGCCCCCAAACTAGCCCCCAAGCCAGCTCACTCAGGGACTGACCCCAGAATGAGGAACTCAAGCCAGATACCCAGAATGCATTTCTCATGTTTAACTTCAAACCTTTGTGTATCAGATTTGTGTGTGAATTCTGCTGGAACCTTTTCTTCTTTTATACTTCATACAGAAAGATACTATTTTTAAAGCATTTAATACGCAAGCCTTTGTGTATCTACCTGTACTTCCCTATCATGCCCACAGAAGACAAATCATCAAGCCCCTCCCTCTCCATACTCAGAAGCCCCACAGAGTGGGCCCTCCTTGGTGGCAAAACGGGTTGAAGATCAGCCCTAGAAGCTACCCACAGCCGCTTCAGCACAAGCTCAGTCCCCGGCCATGGGGGTAAAAATCCATTTGGAGACTTGGTCGTTATATCTCAAGAACTTAGTCAATCTAGTTGAATTTAATTGTCATCAAAATTCTTTTGTCCCTTTTCTCTTATGGAGTTAATAAAATAAAACTAACTGTGGGATTAGTTGGATTACACCACACAAATAAACAATCTGCATTTTATCAAGTTTCCTATAGATTTTACTCAGAAGTGAACACCAACTTATAAAATGTCCTTAGGCAAACATAATTTAGAAAGCAAGTTTTGGGGGAAAAAATAACAAAAATGACATATCAATTGATAGATGCCTAATGAGTAAAACAGAAAGACTGAGAATTTTACATGTTGTAGATTATCTCTGTAGTTAGGGATGGACATTTAGATGTGATTTTTTAAAGGAGGAGGGATAGAAAGAAATCAATCATAAATTGTATGTCCAGTTACTGGGACATACATGGCTATTCATTTGGAAGAAAAAAATAACTAAAACCCGTTGTCTCCAAGTAAACTACCCTCATAATAAGGTACTCACTATTTTTATATACTCATATTTCATATTTTAATATAAAATATTCCCATTAATCTTTCAATCCACCCTATTTAAAAATGCAAACTGCCCTAACATTTCCCTTTTTTTATTTTCCCCCACATATCACCATCTGAAATTCTATGTATTTTATTGCTTTATTGTCTGTCTCCCTATAGTAAAATATGAGCTGTATAAACAGGAATTTTGTTTGTTTTATTCATTGCTATAACCCTAATCCCTAAATCAGTGGTTAGCATGCAGTAGACAACATACATTTGCTAAGTGAACGAATAAGCAAATTGAAGGAAGGAATGAACCCCACACTTCAGAGGAAATCACTGTTGACAGTTTGATTCCCACCTTCCTGGCTTTTTAGTACTTATTCACTAAGCTCATATAAATACATATATGTGTCTGCTTGTCAATTTTACCCAAATGAAATAATGTACATATTGTTGTACAATGTGTTTTTATCAATTAACATTTCATAAGCACTTTCCATGATGAGTTCATTGAAAGGCTCTCCATTCTCTATAACGGTTTTATGAATATCCCATTCTCCTACTGATAATCATGGATTTTGTTTCCAAAGTTTTGATATTGTACATAATGCTGAAATATTGTTGTTGCTGTTGTTGTTTTGGATAGGATCCTAAAAGTGACATTGCTCTAAAAGTTTACATGTTTTTACATTTTAATAGATATTGTCACTTTTCTGTCTAAAATAGAATGATTTACAATCCAACACCTTGCCAATGTCAAATTTTATCAATGCGAGAGGCAAAAAACATGTTAATGGTATCTAAAAATTCCTTTTCATGTGTTCATTGACAATTTGAATTTCTTCTACTAATTAATTACTTGCTCATATTCTTTACTCATTTTTCTACAAGGTTATTGGAAGTTTCATGGACTTGTAGAGGTTCTTCATGTATTGGAGACATAAACCTTTTGCCTCTATTGTATGACAAATGTTGATTCCTCATCTATGACTTATCTTTCAACTTTGTGAATGCTGTTTTCCTCAGTACTTACAGCAGGAATACTAATGGCTAACCTTTATTCAGAGTTTACAACATGAAAGGCATTTTACATGGATTATTTCATTTAATTATTACATGATGGAGTCATTACCCATTTTTACAAGTGAGCATAGAAAGGATAGGTAACTAGACCCTTCCTGATGGTGCAACAGGTTGGGGTGCAGCACTGCAGGCTAGTGGCAGCCATTTCAGCGGAGTCAATGCCCAGCCCCAGAGGTCATCCACATGGTTTAGCAAACCTTTCCTGTCTCATCTGCTGCTCCCCTCAGCAGTGTACTTCGTAGATCTGCCTGTTCTGCTCCCCACTCTGTCTCTAATGAACCCTCTCAACCCCTGCACCTCTGGCCTGTACCCCAACTCTGTATGCATAAATAAATATTTAAAAAAAAAGGATTGGTAACTAGAAAGGATTGTCTTGGTTAAGTGAAGAACCAGGAGTGGAATACTAGAAGCCTGATATTACACAAGTTTTAAAGATTTAAGTTGTTAAGACTGTCAATTCTTTTTTAAAATATCATCTAGATTTTGTTACAGAGAACTTTTCTAACATAAGATTATTGACATTTTTCTATTTTTTTCCTGTAGTTTTATTTTTAAGATTAATAATCTATCTGGAGTTTATTTTTAGATAAGGTGGGGACTTACTTTCCTTTCCTTCCAAATGTATAGCCAATTGTCCCAACAGTAGTTATTGAATAACGCTTCTATTTCCCTTTCAATGGTATCTTTATCATAGACAAAATTCCCTAATCAATTAAAATTTTCTAGCCATAGAAGAGACTCTAAAAATAGGGATTTTTTTTGCTTTCTAATATTTGCAGTATATGCTCCATTTTCTCACCTTATTAAACTAGCTAAAATGACCTAAATTGTATGGGATAAAAGAAAAGAAGTGATGACTTTTCCCTTCCTAAACCTGGCTTTAACAGAACTAATTTTAGACAGTTACTACTATATTTTCTTTTTTTTTTTTTTTTAGATTTTATTTATTCATACAGAACTGGGGTACAGGCTAGAGATGTGGAGGGTGAGAGGATTCACCAGAGACAGAGCAGGGAGCAGAGCAGGCAGATCAACGAAGTACACTGCTGAGGGGAGCAGTGGGCGGGTCAGGAGAGGTCTGCCGCGCCATGTGGTCACCTCCCGGGCAGGCGGGAATCGAACTCTGGGAAGGTGGCTTTAGCCTCTTAGTGCTGTGCTTTAACCCACTGCACCACCAGGGAGGGCCCACTACTATATTTTCTATAATTTTCTGTTGTCTTGTTTTAGGCATTTCCCCTTAGTTTTTATCACAAGTCTTACATATTCCCAATGACTTTTGACATCTGATAAATGTGTTAATATAACCACAAGGCTTTTGAAGCTATCAGAAACTATTTTCTTTGTATGGGCTTACCAGTTAATACAGTTTCTTCATGGAATGATTTAGAGTTGATAACAGCCATTGACCCTTGGGCTGTCTGACAGAGCAGAAATCAGGAGGGTCTTCAGGATTCCCAGCAACTAGAGTGGAGATGAGAACAGGAAGAACAAAAACCAAAAAAGAAGAAGAAAAGGAAGGCACAAAAAGATTCAATGGAAAAAGCCCCAGCTGGTGCTCACCTGCCCCCAGAGTGCAGGCTCCAGCTAGGACAGACTGGCCCACCCTGCTGGGCCTTGCTGATGCAACTGGACCCCCAGAATACCTTTCCACCCCCTTTACTCTTGCTCCCCAATCTCTGTTCATGGAATTTCTACCCAATCTTGCTTGAGGGCTTATATTAATGCCAGACTGGGTCTTCCCAGATCCCCAAGATGTGTCCCAAACCCCTACTCCTTAATGTCACATCATTGTCTATGGTGCATGTGCATTTGATTTCTCTGTAGCTCCAGTGCCTTACAGAAAGCCTGGTGTGCCACATACAGGATAAAAAAGTGACAGAATGTGTGCTCTGCCCAATGGCCCTTCCCGCTCTGAGAGCCCAGGAAACCTTTCCTGCTAGGATGCTGCAGGGTGGACTCCGCCTCGGCAGAGGGCATCGCAGACCCCTCTCCAGCCCCGGAAGCTGGGCTGCCTGCCATGGGAAGACTACACTTCCCAGCGATCCCAGGGAAAAGTGAAAACCCTTTGGCTTTGACAGCAGCCGCCACAAGTCTTTCCGCCTCCCCAGGCTGCCTGGGAGCTGGGAGCTGGGAGCTGGATTATGGTGGCCTGACCAGCAAACGCAGCCGCAGGAGCCCTGAGCCCCGGCCCCGGCCCGCTGCCGATTTGCCTGGAGGATCGGGACGCCGGCTGACCTGCCATGCCTGCCCCTCCCAGCCCTGGGGAGGCTCTGAGTCGGCCTCTCCCAGACCGCTGCTGAGGCTGGTCGCCAGCGGCCAGATGTAGCCCGGCTTCGGATTCCTCTCTTCCCCTTCTCTCTCTGCGGATTTCTCCTGCCTGCTACCCACAGCCGGAATAGGGGCTGGCCAAAGTGCCTGCAGGCTCTGGAGCCCTGATGCCTTGCAGCTCACTCCCCTGAGAAGCTACCACCAGCACCCAGGAGTTAGGGGCAGGCAACAGGGACGGACGTGGGCCAGAGGGCTTAAAAGGCCAGGGCCCACCATGGCCCAAGCACTGCCCTGGCTCCTGCTGTGGATGGGCTCGGGCATGCTGCCTGCCCACTGCACCCAGCCTGGCATCCGGCTGCCCCTGCGAAGCGGGCTTGGGGGGGCCCTCCTGGGGCTGCGGCTACCCCGGGAGACGGACGAGGAGCAGGAGGAGCCCAGCCGGAGAGGCAGCTTTGTGGAGATGGTGGACAACCTGAGGGGCAAGTCCGGGCAGGGCTACTACGTGGAGATGACCGTGGGCAGCCCCCCACAGACGGTAAGGTCACCAGGCCAGTGCCACCCTCCTCCCTGCATGAGCAGAGGGGAGACTAGCTGGGGATGCAGCATGCTGGCCCTTGCTACTGTGGGCTGGATGGGGGTGGGGGGAGAAGACCCCCACAAATCTTTCCTCTGGGATCACACTGGCGGCAGTCAGTGTGATCCCTTTTCCTTCCTCCCTTCCCCTTTAAGGCTTCCCAGTCCGCTCCCCCATCAACCTCCCTCTCCTCCTCTCACTCCCACTTTCACAGTCACCTCTCAGTAAGAACATGGGGCAAACGAGACACTTCGCCGGGGGAGCCCAGCCTGGGGGAGGGTCCAAGCCGTGGGGCGCAGTGAACAGGTGTCAGCCCTAGGCACACCTGAGTCTCCCGAAGCACCCGCCCCATCTTGGTCGCTCCCTCGCCCTCTGTCGATGGCCCAGGAAGCTGGTGTCTGGCCCTCATCCCCAGAACCTTGAGGAATCCCCACACCAGTGGAATCAACCCCCTTTCCTCACTGCCTGGGCTCCACGGGGACAGCCCAGCCAGGTTTCCCAGCAACTCCTGAGCTCTGCTCTAGCCTGAAGCCTGGACGACTCCGGCTTTACCGTGGCCCCTCCCTGGCCGCCTCCCCTCCCCCTTGAGTGCTGCACTCCAGCCCCTCCCCCACACCATGCCTCCTGTGCTCGGGCCTGTGGGATGGCCTGGGGGACCGGAAAGGGTCGGGGCTAGGGACATTCCTTCCATGAACTGATAGGTCCTGCAGAGAAGGGGCACATGGCATCCTCCAAGGTCCTCCAAGCCTGCTGGTGGAGAGTGCACCCTCTGGGCCTCTGGTGGGTGGGAGCTTGGGTGTGAGTAGCTGTGGGGTGGCTGTACTGACCTCTGCATGTTGCCGTCTCTGTGTGGGAGCCCGGCACTGTGGCAGGATGGTTCTATAAGTGTTGATGTGTGTCACCTTGAATCTGAGCCTGCACTTCTGAGAGCAACTTCCCTCCCCACCCCCCCACCCCCCAACCATGCCAGTGGATATTTGACTGGGAGGCCTGTCCTTGAGGGTCTATGAAGGTGGGAGCATGTTTATGTGGAGAGAGAACAGCCACACTTACCCAACTTCCCCTTTAGCTACTATACATACGGGGTCTGGCAAAAACTCAAACCTCCCAGCTACCTGACTGAAGGAAGCCTTCCGAGGTCCAGCTACCCAGGCCTATCTCTGGCTGACCCACAACTCTGCTCTGCCTCCACTTCCCTTCCTCTTCCCTTTGCAGTATAGCTTCCCAGATACAAGCAGGACTGAGTGTGAGACTCTGTGGCTCCAACCCCCAGAAGCCTCAGCCAACAGAATGCCGTGTAACCTCATGGATCCTGGGGGCTCGGACACCCAGGACCTACTCCTATTTCTGCTACTGATGTGCACTGCAAGCTGAGACAGACCCTGTGACAAGGACAAAGAGCAGGGCTTTGGGGTCAGACAGACCAGGAAGTCCAGCTCTACAACCCTTTTTTCTTTTTCCCAACTGTGTGACATTGGGCAAATTATATAACCTCTCTGAGGCAATTTTCTTGCCTTGAAGATGAGATTTCCTTTGAAGGCTAATTGTGAGGAATGAGACTGTGTAGGTGAAAGTATCTAGATGAGGCATCCAGACATATAAAATCACTTTCTCCCAACTTGTCTGGTCCTTGCTGCCTCTTCTGTGCTATGCAGTTGACCATAAAAAATTGGGTGTGGGTCCTCCCTAGTGGCACATTGGGTTAAACAGAGCACTGTGAAGCTGTCTGCAGCCACTGCAGCACAAGTTCAATCCCCGGCCAGGGAGCTGACCCACATGGTGCAGCAGACCTCTCCTGCCTCGCCCGCTGCTCCCCTCAGCAGTGTATTTCAGTCAACCTGCCTGTTCTGCTCCCCACTCAGTCCCTGGTGAAGCCTCTCAGTCCTCACACCTCTGGCCCATACCCCAGCTTTTATATGCATAAATCAATCAATCTTTTTTTTAAAAATTGGGTGTTAGTCAGGTCCTCTGCGTTCTACACATGTGAAATGGGGGCTGGTTACTGTGCTTCTCAGAACCCTGAGAACCATGTGTACACCCCCAGTCCAAAAATTGTAGAGAAGTTGCTCAGTAAATGTTAGTCCCTTCCTAGGAGAAGGGGAAAGTGGGCTTCAAGTTCACATGACCCAAGGAGCCAGAGGACCGGCACCCGGAGACCACAATTAGAGGGAGCCTGCCAAGGCCCAGCAGCTTCCCGCACAAGGCAGCCTCCACTCCTGAGCACAATGCAAGAAGGGTCCCCCTTCCTACCTGGTGAGGCTGTTGTCAGCTCCAAATGCAGACAGTAGAGTCCTCTGAATGAATAAAAGTGAAATTTGGGGAGCGCTTTTATGCCAGGCTATTAAATCTTGGGGTCTGGAGGGGTGAGCCACAAAGAGACAGAAGATAGGTTTTCCGTCCACAAAGACTTACAAGTGGAAGAACTAGTATGGCATAATCCATAGTGGTAGTATCAAAGAGAAGTCTCCAGACCCTTGTCATCAGAGCCTATTAGACTTGTCCATTCTCTGGCTCTCCCCTAGATCTACTGAGTCAAAATCTCATGGGCTAAGTCCCAAGTTTGAGAAGCACTGATGAGTGAGTCCTGTAAAGGAGAAGGTAAAATCAGGGAAGACCTCAAGGAGGAGATATGCAGTGAACATGGTGTTGGGTGGAAAAGGGAGTACCCAAACCCAACCCAGTGGGGGGAATGGCATATGTCCCACAGAACTGTAATTGCACTTTTTATATGGATGTGCACCCTCCCACCCTCTCTCCCTCAGACTCGGAGAGGCCTGAAAATAAGTCAGGCAGGTCTGTTCTGGAGACACCCTACCCACTTCATGTTACAGGTTTGGAGAGAATCACATTGCCCAGAGGCTTCCATGTCAAGCTGTAAGGGTTGGACTTTGGCCTGCAGAAATAAGGAGATTTAATTTATTTGTGCAATGGAAAGACCTAAAGAATGCCATTTTTTAGGAAGAGAGAGCTGAGATTTAGGAGGAGTGGAACTCAGAGAGGCAAGCGGCAGGAGGCTGTCACAACAGGCCAAGTGTGCGGCACCATGAAAAGGGTGGTATGAGGCTGTGATGAGACAGAAAGAGAAGGGGAAAACAGGATACAAGGGATAAGATGGCGAGGCAGGCAGAAGGACCTGGTGACATTGGTGTGAAAGGCGAAGGAGAAGGCATCAAAGATGGTTTTGAGATTCTGATTCTGCTTTGGGCTGAGCTGGGGGCTAACAAGACCATCTGGGGGGTGGGTATGGGAAAGTTGAGGGGGGCTGGTTTGGAGTACTATCTACAGGCAGAAACCCTGTTTACCACTGTAGTTTGCATAGAGGTTGAAATGTATATTCTGCAGAGATTATTTTCTCTACAGTAATTCTTGCCATGCCAAGGTCTTACAGCCTGCAGATTCTACCACAACAAATGGGCACTGAAAGTTTACCAACTGGCCAGGTAGGGAGCCAGTAGCTTGAGACCCTGTGTGCCTGCTGTTTCTCTCTAGGGCCACCGCAACCATGCACGCAACTATACTGTGAAATCTCTCTTCTATTCTCCCACCACCTGTTCATCGATCGCTCCCTCACTACACTTACTAGAACATAGTCTAACTTTTTGTGTTTGTTTCCCTCATAAAACTTCAAGCTCTTGACATTTTCTTTAAAAAAAATAATTTTTGTGGTGTCTTATTTATCTTCCTATCGTATCTATGGGTTCAGGTTCTGAACATGGTCCCCAAAGCACTGAGTAAATAAACTGTGAAGCTATGTGATGGAACTGTTGCTGGACAATTGTAAGTGCAGAACTGGCACTTGTAGGGAAAGGTCTGATCTTTTCACTTAAATAAAAGGATGGCATTGCAGTATAGTAGTGTGAGCATCTCTGTTCAGGTAGAAGATAGTTTCAATTGTTGGGTCAAAATGTGGTGATAGTCAATTCAATTTAACAAATACTTCTTGAGTACCTACTATATGTAGCAGAGAAAACTAACATCATAATCTTAGCTCCTATCAGAGAGCTCATGATTTGGTGTGAGACAGACATAGCCATGTGTGTTTGGCACAAAAAGAACAGTGAGTCTTGGAAGTGCAAGGTGTTAGGACAGACTTGGTGGGAAAGGTAGCATTTGAATATGACCTAGAAGGAAGTAAAAACTTTGCTACTTGGGGTGTAGTGGGGAGAAACATACCTGGACAGAGACATATGTTAGGCTTAGAGGTGGACATCAGAGATGCTGCAGGCTGAGTGGAGTTTAGCTTATTCTGGAGACTTAAGCATCCTCGGAAGTGTGTAAGAAGAGGAACAGTCTAGTGTAATTTGGGTTCTAGGAGAACAACTTCATTGTGGAGAATAACCTGGGAGTCTAGAGCCTAACACAAGGCTCCAAGTTAGAATACAAGGGCCTGAAAGAGGGCCGTGGCACTGAGGCCAGGAGGGGGCAGAGGTACCCGAGCACACGTGTCCACTTGTGTTGAACTAGATGTCCTCCCCCCTGCAGGGAAGAGGAAGGAGAAGACAGGCCCCCTCCTTTTAACCTCTCTTGTTCAGACCAGCAAACAAGTGAAAGGAGCGCATTTTTAAAAACAATTAGGGAATGTATATTGTTTGTAGTTGAGGACTGAGAGAGCAAGAGAAAATGATCAGAGAAGTAGAAAACTAGAAGGGTTCAGAGTCTCAAAAACCAAGGACCAAATACTTTCCTCTTCCCCTCCCCTCCCCCTTAATGGCTTTCAAACTGATTGTGTCATCCTCTATAGGGACTCCTAGACTGAGGGAAAGTGTTAGGAGAAAGTTAAGCCGACAAGACTCTGGTTCTTCTACCCTCTCCATCACCCGCCCCGCATCTCCCGGGCCCCCAGAACAGCTCAGCTCTTGTTTTCATCCAGTGGAATTCAGAGTCTTTAAGAGTTCCAGCTTGAAAAGGGTAGAAAACCGCTAGACTTACAGAACCACCCTCCTATCAGAGAAGCTACATGA